GCTCAATTTGATAACTTAATGCGTATTGTTGAAATAAAAGAAGAAAGGGGAAAAATGCCACAAGAATTAATGAGAGGATTAAAGGGTTTGGTGTACACAACAAGCAATGGAGATTATGAGCTTGCTCAACGAAAAGCTGAAGAAACAGGTTTGTCTCATCATTGTTCTTTTGTTTTTGTTTTTCAAACTGTTTTAATTATGAAAATGAACATAAATCATATAAAAAGTTAAAGAAAAGAGAAGTCGCGGATGGACCATATATTTTTTTTTGTGATTCAACAAAAAAATTACGTTCGGTTTGAATTATAGAAAGTCATTTAGAAATTGCTTTATGAAAGGCTTTCATTAGAGGGTTACCCACCACAAACTATTAATTATTTATTACTTAAATGTTTGGTAGATACACATTTACGTAATCCGTTACAACTACATATATATTCACCATGACTTTATTTTTCTGGACATACATTTCAAATTTCTGTAATCTACCAAACCTATTTTTGTCTTTCTTCTTTCTATTTCAACTTTTTCTCCTAAAAGGAAAAGTATAAAGCAAAAATAAGTTGTCGAAATAATATGAATATAAACCCATTGGGCTAGATATTGGGCTTTTAATCAATATTATTTAAAGCCAAATTCATTTCCCGCGTTTAGTTTTCTTGTTAGGAGATACTACGACTCGAACCCCGCGAAAATCGCGGAGGTAAAAAACATCTAATCACACTTTAAAAAAAAAATTTTTTGCTAACATATTCAAAAATACAATTTATTTCTTGAAACATATATGAACATGAATTCATCTTTAAAAATTTTTAAAGCATTGTTTATTATCAATTCTCAAGTCGAGTTAACCCAAATCGGACAGACTATGTAATAAAAAAATTAAATACAGAAACTGAACAATATAAATTATTAACATAATTTAAAGAATAACATAAAAGACCTTGAAATAGAAGTAAACACACACACACAAAAAGACGCAATGCGATGCGTTAATAACCACAAAACATTTTTTTTTAAATAAGCAACCCTATGATACATTAATGAAAAGATAAATATTTGTTTTTTTAAAACGTATCCCTATGATGCATCAGTAGCCACAAAATATTTTTTTTCTAAATGCAACTGTATGATGTATTTGCTAGGATTGCCATTTGAAAACAATTATTATTGACAATGTATACAAATATGGGTACAATGTAAAAGGTAAATCATGGTAAGAAGAAACTACAAAAAAAGACATAACTGAAGTCTAAATAACCATAATTTTTTCTAAAAAGATGCAACCCTTACATTTTCAGAGAATGATAGACACACCATAGGATGCATTGTTAAACAGTAAACGGTTTTTTTAGTAGACACAACCTATTATGCATTAATAACCATAAAATAAGTTTTTCCGAGAAGACGCAATCATATGATGCATTAAAATGGTTTTTTTTAAAGAGACAATCCTAAGATGTTTTAATAATCATAAAAATATTTTTTCCAAAAGATGCATTCCTAGGATTAATTAACAACCATAAAACAAATTTTAAGATGCAACCAAAAGACGCGACACGTAGTTGCTTTAATAACTATAAAACAATATTTCAAAAAGACGCAACCATATGATGAATTAATAACCATAAAATAGATTTAATCAAAAAATGCAACTTTTATATGCTTTAATAACTATAAAACAATTTATTTGAAAAAACACGTAACCCTCTGATGTATTAATAATCATCAAACAGTTTTTTCCCAAAAAAATGCAATCCTTACATGTTTTAACAACCATAAAATAGTTTTTTCGAAAAGACGCAATTGTACAATGCATTAATCACCATAAACCAGGCTTTTCGAAAAGACGCAATCCTAAGATGCTTTTATAATCATAAAACGGTTTTCTGAAAAGATGCAACCATAGGATTTATTAATAACAATAAAACGAATTTCTTAAAAATACGCAATCCTATAAAGGTTTAATAACCATAAAGCCGATTTTTCAAAAATACACGACCATATGGTGGATCAATAACTATAAAATGATTATTTTTGAAAAGACGGAAGCTTGCTTTAATAACCATAAAACGGTATTTTCAAAAACAAATGCAATCCAATGGTGCATTAATAACCATAAAATTAATTTTCGAACAGATGAAGCATTTAGATGTTTTAATAACACTATGATGCATTAATTAAAACATCATAGAATCCATAAATTCTGCATTTGATAAAGAATTCCAACATTTGTTACACAAATCAATAATTTTAGGAACTTCTACAATAGTAAAAAATTCAATACTTTTGAATAATTTTAAAATAATAGAATGTCGTTTTTATCATTGTTATACTTTAAGTGAATTTTAAAATTAGTAGTCATATAAAAATACACAAAATGTTCAACAAAAAATATATAGAGTTAAAAACACAAATATATAGAACAAACGATTTTTTTCGAAAATACGCAATACTATCTGCATTGTCTAAAGAGATCCAAGATTCTTTACACAAATCAAGAAGTTTAGGAACTTCATCAATAGTAAAAAGATCAATATTCTAAAATAATTAAAAAATAATAGATTGGCGTTTTTATCTATCTTACACTTTAAGTGAATTATATAACAAAATAGCCATAATTAACGAAATGATCACCGGCAGAAAAAAAAAAACTAAAAACATTTATATATAGGCTAAACGATTTTTTCGAAAAGACGCAACTCTTATCAATAACCATAAAGCGGTTATTTCGAAGAATAACTACTTAACGGGTTTTTTACGAAAAATCACAACCCAAAAATATTCATTTTTGAAAAGACGCAACTCTTAAAGAAAACTAAAAAACAGTTATTTTCGAAAAGACGCAGCTTTTGACGAAATAACGATAATGAAAAGACACAACTCTTGACAAAATAGTTACAACGAAAAGACGTAACTCTAGACAAAACGGTTTTAATGAAAAGATGAAACTCTTGCAAATAATCATAAAGCGGTTTTTCCAAAAAGATGCAACCCTTCAAAATAACCATAATGCGGTTTTTTGAAAAGAAAAAAAACTAAAACATATATATAGAGAGGCTAAACGATTTTTCTGAAAAGATTCAACTTTTAGCGATAATCAGAAAGCGGTTAATTCGAAAAATAACTACTTAACAGTTATTTTCAAAAAGACGCAGTTTTTGACAAAATATTTATAATGAAAAGACACAACTGTTGACAAAACGGTTACAATGAAAAGATGCAACTCTTGACAAAAGCGGTTTTAACGAAAAGATTAAACTCTTGCAAATAAACATAAAGCAATTTTTTCGAGAAGATGCAACTTTTCAAAATAATCATAATGCGGTTTTTTGAAAGAAAAAGAAAAATTAAAACATACATATATATAGGCTAAACAATTTTTCTGAATAGACGCAAGTTTTAGCGAGAACCATAAAGCGGTTATTTCGAACAATAACTACTTAACGGTTATTTTCGAAAAGACGCAACTTTTGACAAAATAGTTATAATGAAAAGACACAATTCTTGACAAAACGGTTCCAATGAAAAGATGCAACTCTTGACAAAAGCGGTTTTAACGAAAAGATGCAACTTTTGAAAATAACCATTAAAAATAACTACTAAGCGGTTTTTTACGAAAAGTATTTTTTGGGTTTGCTATATATAATAGATATGTCGTAATTGTTTCGAAAAAGAATAATAAAAATAGGTTTGAATTGTCACAACTGATAAGCCAAGAGAAGGTACGAAGCGGTGGCATGGCTAAGACAAATGGACCAAGGCGCGGCGGCGACACTGCCGGAAAAACCGTCGGAAGAAGAGTTCAGTCTCGCCCTCCGCAACGGCCTGATTCTCTGCAACGTCCTCAACAAAGTCAATCCCGGTTCGGTTCTCAAGGTCCGGTTTCTACTCATCTAATAAAGGTGCTGGTTAGCTTGTACAATTCCTAATGATTCTTGAGGTAGGTGGTGGAGAATCCTGTGACGCTAGCTATTCAGTATGCGGATGGAGCGGCTCAATCCGCCATTCAGTATTTCGAGAACATGAGGAACTTTCTTAAAGCTGTTGAGGATATGCAGCTTTTATCTTTTGGAGCTTCTGATCTCGAAAAGGTTCTTGTTTCATATGCATATGATAATGTTTCACAGTAATGACTCTAGATTTCTGGTTCTTGGCAGGGAGGCTCGTCGAACAAAGTAGTAGATTGCATTTTGTGTTTGAAAGGGTTTTATGAGTGGAAACAAGCAGGAGGGGTTGGAGTATGGAGGTATGGAGGGACTGTGAGGATAGTCTCTTTGCATCCAAAAGGCTCTACACCACAGTATGTGCTTGGTAGTGAAACCAACACCGACGAGTCTGTCTCTTTGGACGAATCTGAGTCTTCTCAGTATGACCAGCTTTTGGATTTTCTTCACCTTTCTAATGAGATCTCAACTGAGGAATCTGAAACTGCAATCTCCATGGCCTTTCTTTTTGATCATTTTGCGCTTCAGCTACTAAATGCTTACCTCAAGGAGATTGATGGAATCAACAATCTGCCTTTAAATGAAATGGTAGGTAAGAGGTGCTTGAGTTGAATTTGATTCCTCTGTTATTTAGTTATGCAAGTTGAAACATTTAACTTGTGTTGAATCACATTTAGAAAACTAGAAAAATATATCATGTTTTCTTTCACCTTCTCAAATTTCGGTTACTTTTATAGGTGATCGATACCTTGCTCAACAGGGTGGTTAAGGATTTCTCTGCAATACTAGTTTCTCAGGGGACTCAGGTACTACTTACTCTTCATGGAATTCTTTTCAAATGTTTTGACATTTCTCCGGGGTCCATGATTAGTTTCTGGTATCCACTTGCAGCTAGGTTCGTTTCTAAAGAAGATTCTGAAATGTGATAACGGGGATCTATCAAGATCAGAGTTTTTAGAAGCAGTCTACAGATATCTTCACCACAGAAAAGATTTGGTGTCAAAGGAGTTTTCAAAGTTTTGCAAATGTGGCGGAAAGCCTGAGTTTATTACTGGACCAAGCATCCGCGAGTTTTCACCTAGTCATGCAGGAGCTATTGATCTTCAACAGAAAGAGCTACAGGTCAGAATATACCTTTCTCTTCCAATTCTAGAAGTTTTGAATAATGGAACTTGCAAGTAAATCTTTGGG